CCATTCATCTCAGGCCCATCCAAAGGACTTTGGATTTTAACATAAGCTTTTTCCAGATCAATAGACATGATATGTAAATCTCTTTATTTGGTAAATATATCCATAAAAACCCTTAAGAAATAAACAAATTCCATAACATAAAACCAAATTGATTTTCTGATGCTCTACAGTCTTATAACCCAACTTTCACTTGATCACTCTTTCCAATGATTTTATCTGTAACTCATCAATTTGATACCTCTATAGTTGGCACAATTATCTCTAATTCTTATGTATAGATAAGTGATCTTTCTCCACCAATTTAAATTTAATCTGATTCACTTCAATTCTATGATTACTCAAAAAGCCTGTTATGTTCAACTTTCATCTTGAGATAACAAAGCTGGCTTTGTTAAACTAGTAGTTAGTTAGTTTGGTGGCAAGGTTTGATGACTAACCTACTTGGTGTACCACTAGCAATGTTAACTCGGTTCTTCAGTAAAGATACCTGCAACAACCAAAATGAAGGAAGATAAGCACAAGCATAAATTAATGAAGAGATAGGGCCTTTATGAACTACATATCAACTAACCAGAGGCCTGCTAATAAAGTTATAACAGTTCATTAACATGATATGCAATAGCAATTTGCACACACAAAAATTGTTTAATTTCTCTAACCCATCATAGGTAAGCAACATAATGCAACTAAATAGCATCTACAACAATTCTATACCATATTCAGATGACATTCACTAGCACACCACTTAGTGAGACCATAACTGCATAATAACTAATAACTTTTATCATTAAGTGTCCTTTCTCATAATTAATCAATCATGGGGAGTCACAGATGTAACATCTACTATTGTCCAAATTGGATTCCATAAAGTTAAGCTGACTCCATAAATATTTTCAGGAAACAACATATTCTAGTAAAATGAAGATGACATTAGATTCAGAACATGAAACCTTCAAGTCTCAGAAACAAAAAATTGAAATGATGAAAATTTATCCTTGTTCAATTTTTTGACACCCAGAATGAGGCCTTAAAATCTCAAATGATTTCCAGCCACACACGAATATCATACCCACACCCATGTGATGGCAAGTCAAAACAGGTGCTTCAGCCAAAAGTGTGAACATTGTGTGATTGATTAATGTTCTTGTGATAATTTCCATGTAAAGTCTTCTTATGTCTTCAAACTTTTACATTACTTTAGAAATTTTTTTTAAAGTAAACTTAGGTACCTTATTATCAAGTCCTAGGGTATAAGCATATAATTTCTTTCTTCTTTCTCTAATTTTAACTCTGTTTCAAATTAGAAATCAACCCTAAATCAAACCCTTTAAACACTAAAATAGAAATTTATCTAATCTTAATCAATCTCTTGCTAAAGTAAACATCCAACCAACCTCAAGACTCCACCTTTTTCGGCCTATACCAACCATCATACTAATAAAACCCCGAATCAGTCATTTTTTCTTAACTATAACCAATTCTTATTAGTTTGCGCAAGCCCCTGGTTCTTTATCAGATTTCAATACAAGGACCACAATTTACAATTGCAATACTCTTATGAATTCACAAAATCAAGTCTCAATTCTGATCCACTTGCACAACTCTAAACCTTCAATATGATTACACTATATTTGTCTGAAGTTGCTCTCTTATCAATAACTATCTACTCCACCCATTGTCAACTATATTCTAAGAGATACAAGAACATTACGTTTTAGGCATAGCACAATCACAAAAAATACAAGCCTCTCAAGTGACATAACTAACAACAAACAAGTAGCATTCAAAAATTGGGGATCAAAGTATAAAAAAACTACCTGTTCATCAATTTTCATATGCTTTGAAAATAACTTTACAGCATGGCATTCTTTAGTAAATGAGCGCATTCCCCTAGAGGAAAATAACGAAATTTTCAGTTCCCTTCTCGCTACAGTTTAAAAATAAATAAAACAAAAAAAAAAAGCATTAACGTGTACCCCTAGAAATTGGGAAACAAAAAGCTCTTTAAATTCATCTATTGAATCAAAATTTGCCAAGTGCTAATCAATTTTCTCTTCTTTTCACTTCTGAGTTCTGCCCATTTTGCTATCCAAACAAAAGAAATCGTTAATTTTCTTCTCTCCAACTCTCAATCTAAAACAATGTTAAGCAATGGCTATATCAAACATAACAGTTATTTGCTCTTTTTATCTGTTTTATTTTTTCTCTCTTTGCAAAACAAAATGAAAAGTAACAAACGGAACAACGAGTTGGAGCCTAACGAACCTCAAAAGTTCAATAGATCTTAATGCTGAAGCAGCAACAACAAGAACAGTAGGACTTCCTGCTTCAATTTTCCCTTCAATGAGCTTCCCTTCACAAAGCTCTTCTTTCCATTTTGCCCCAAAAGCTTCCTTTATATATCTCTCTAGCCTCATTACATCTTGACCCGACTCCTGAGAAACATCCAAAATACAACTATCTACACACAAAAAAAAAATCAATGACTCTTTCTAAGTTTTCATCTCTGATTAATAATTTAATTTTACCTTTAACAGACTCCAATTCTAGAGAAGAGAGTTGGACCCCATTGGCGGATTGAAACTGACTAAGAAAGTAACTGAGTTGCTGCCTCGGTGATGCAGGTGGTGGCGGTGGGTTGTTGTTGTTGCCGGTAACAACTGTCGTTTTGGTTTTGGTCTCGATTTGGTCGGTGTCGTTTTGGTGGTTGTGGTTGTTCTTCGTCTTCTTCTTCTTGGACTTGGATTTGGGTATGTCGGACTTGGGGCCGAGAGGTTTCCGGTTGTTTTTAGGGTTTTGGCGAGCTTTCTGTTTTTTCTCCACTTTCCCGCTCCCCATTGCTGCTGCTGTGCGGCTTTTCATGGAAACAGAACGCTTGTGCTAGGTTTTTAAACGTTAACTAACCAGCGGCACAGTGTTACTGTTATTTGTATTTTTGTTTTATTTAGGATTAAATACTTATTATTATTATTATTTCCTATAATAAAAATTATGCTGTGAAAATTTTAAACAAATTTACTTAATAGACATATAATTTTGTCAATAGATGGCATAATATTTAAAATTTTTTTAAATAATTCTTTTTACTTTTATTAAATTTAATTAAAATTTTATATTTTTATTTTAAGTCACTTAAATTTTATATTTTTGTTTTTATTCAAATAAATATTATATTTAATAATTAACTTAATCAAAAAATTATTTATTATTATATATGACGTAACGCTAGCTTAATATGTTAATATGTTATTTTGAATAATAACATGATATGTTGATATGATATAATGACATAATTATATATTTTTTTATTATTTATATTAATATTGTATCAATGACATATGAATATAAAATAAAAATAAATATTTTTATTAATAATAATTAATTAACTATTAATTATAAATATTTATTTAATTTAAAATAAAATTATAAAACTTAATTAAATATTATAAAAAATAAAAATTATTAATTTTCTTAAATAATTTAAAAAAAAATTTGAGTACTATGTCTAAATAAATTAATATTTCATATTTGGTGTATATGATAATTTATTACAATGTTTTCCTTGTTGCTTTACATGATATATTAAGTAATATATTAATAAAAATATGTAAGGTAAAACAAAAGATACACAAAACTTTTTTATTAAAACAAATTGTTATTTTTTTTATAATTGAAAAAGAATGATTCAAACCTGTTATGATAATGCACTGACTAATGAGTCAAATGCTAAGTGTAAAACAAATTGTTATTTGTTATAATTTTTGTTATTATCTAATATAATAAAATAAAAATATATAGATAAAAATATGAAATATCAAACAAAATTGATACAATTTTTTGTCATATCATGCAACTTTTAAATTGCTTCTCGTTACAAATTTTGATTATGTGCAACATTTTTTTTTTCATTCCTTAATACAACTTTTAATTGTTTTTGTTACAAGTTTTTTATTATTTATCACAAACTTTTTATTGCTTTTTTTTTGTCAAAAAGTTATTGTTATTAATTTATAAAATGCACATTTGTCTCAAATAATTAAATAGTGTTAATATTTAAAATATTTTTTTATTTTTTTAAAAATCGATCAGCTATATTTTCTAACTCGGTCGATTACCGTGTGATCGGATCTAATTCATATTCAACTAGTTTTCTCACGGAGAACCAAATTTGGTGCTCCGAGACCACTAAAATCAATGCTCCGTAAGGAATCTAACCCTTTTCCTCCGCCTCTGGTTTAAATGTAATTTCGATGATGTCCGCAGTATGTATTCAAAGTCTGAATTGACTTATGATGAAGATTGTGAATCGAAGTATAGGTAAAACCTACCTAAACTGTGTATTATGATTTTCTATTTTTATTTTATGTCCTTTTTTTTGTTTTATTTTTATGGTTTTGCAATTTTAATGACAAATAAAATTGTTTGCGGTGGATCTACGTCAAGGTACCCAATACCAAGTCCTCGCATGGACAACTGAAAGTCAATAGTCAATTTAGAGAAAATATAATAACTTAGTCAATATTTTTGTAATATTCATTTCATATTATATATAAATATGATTATTAAAATTTTATATAAAATCAGAATTATTTATTATTATTAATTTAAATTTAAAGTTTCAAAGTTGTTGTAATTTAAATCGGACTAATGATACTTGGGTCCGATTTATTATAACTTAATAATTATTTATTAAAATTAAAAATTAAATCTAAGAAAAAAAAACGCACATCTATTTGATAATTAATTAACAAGTGAAACAGTTGCTGTAAAAAAAAATTTGAAACAGTCAATTACTATGAACAATTGAAGAAAAAGTTAAATGCTGGCAGTAACGAACTGTTACATTTCTTTTATAATAATTGGTTAAAAGTTAAAAATATGAAATTACTTTGAAAAGAAGTGAATAGAAATATAAGAAAAAAGAAAAAAGAAAAAAGAAATGGAAAACACCATAATAAAAATAAATAAATAAAGTAAGTAGTAGTAGTTTTCATTTCAAAACAGGAGAAACAGGCCAAGGGGCGTTGAAAGTGGATTGTTGCTGGTTTTTTTCCTTTTTCTTTGATATTTGATTTACTTTGCTTTGGCCCCAGCAAAGTAAAAATAACTCATTTATAACTGTTCAAACTCAGTTTCTGTCAAACCAACTTCCGAAGGCTATGGCCCCTGGTATGAAGATCGTTTTTGGATTGTTGACATTTGTCACTGTAGGAATGATTATCGGTATGTCTTTTTCCACTCGATCCAAAACTTTCTTCTGCAGAATATCTTGTGTCACTCTTTTAAGTTTTAACTCTCAAACACCTTGTTGGGTATCTCTTGCTCTTTTCTGTTTAATTGATGTTGTCTGATTTCCCGCTTTCTTTATGGTTTGAACATAATGGGTTTTCTTTTTTCTTCCTTGAAATATGTAATGGAAAAGCATGAAAAGCGATTTAGCTGAATAGATAGATGGATTTAGTTGAGACGAGAATTGGGTTTTTGTTTCCCTTTGCTGGTTTTGAATTTTTGGCGAATTGGGGTCAAATAATCCAATCATGTGAGCTTCAGAATGAGTAACTTGTGAAGTTTTCTTCTAATTGTCAACGTGTATGTCATAGTTGGAGAGAGTCTCTCTGTTGGCATGGACAATTATAGTAACCCTGGAGCATGGATTGAATTTTTCAATTGTTTTGCTGAGTGTTATGATTATGGGAAATGCAGGTGCTTTGTTCCAGCTAGCTTTTATACGCGGATTAGAAGATTCATACGGTATTATGATATTATATATGCAGTAGAACTTTTTAATGTTGCAGGCTCCATGTTCAATATATATTCCAATTTTCCTTCTTTCCTTTTTTTTTACTTTTTTAATTTCACTTAACATGTTTAATAGGTAGTGACTTTCCAACTGCAAAATTGCATGGGAGTCAGAGTGATGGCTATCTTAAGTTGCCAAGAGGTTGGTATGATTCTTATTGGTTCCCAGAGAACAAAGTAATGGAAATTTATTGAACATGATCAAACTTTGGATAAAGAATCTTTAGTTTTAGCCAAATTGTATATTTTGCTGTAAGTTCATTGATGTATTTTGTCTTTTTACTTTTTTATATTTTCAGGTATGAGTCATTGGCATGGTGACAAAGAAGCAGAAATTTTGCGTCTTGGATATGTATGTTTCTTATTTTTTTTTATCTTTGTCTTTTTTTCTTTTTAATTTTTCAATTATTAAAGTTCTAGTGATATTGAGGAGCCGGAATTTTTTATAAAATTAATAAAGTTTTGAATTTGCAGTGGAAAAGGGAAAGAGAGAGCAAAATTAGAAAAATTTCCATGACAACTGGTGGAGTTGCCCTTTGGCTAGTGTTGTTTTAAAATATACTAGTAGTTAGTCTGTGCTTTGCAGCAAGTGCAAAACTTTTTTATTTTCTTTGTTTCTCTTGAAATTAATCCAAAGTTTGTATTGTGCTTACATTAATGCTTTTGAAACCTTGATTCATGTTTTTAATAAATTTCTTTTTCCAATTTGAGTGGAGCAATATGTTTTTTCTTTTCTATTTTCTAACAAGCCCCCTCTCAAACCAGCCCCATGGGCTTGGTGGTGTGGACTAAGCACAACCCACCACGTTTTTGGTGCACATCTCTACTGTAACTAGCCATTTGCAGTATTAATCATACTTAGACTTGCATGGCTTAATCATAGAGAATAATGACAGCTCATTCTTGTTGCCTCACCTAATATTTTAAGCTTTTAAGTGGAGTTTTTACCCTCACAAATTAAAATGGAATAAAATAATAGAGCAGGATTTGAAGTAAAGGGATTGATCGAGGAAAAGTGAGGAGGGTGGGGGGGGTGAAGCAGACTTTGAAGCAAGGAAATCAGGTGGATGGAGGGGGGGTTGGGGTGGCGACAGCCTCTTTATGCATGTTAAAGCATGACAGAGTATAAAAATAAAAAAACCAACTTTGGGGATTTGGTTAAAATGAATAATTTACTCTATATTTTTTTATACTTACGTGAAATTGATCCAGAAGATGATTCTCCTTACATCTTTCAGATTTTCAACCAAAAAAAAAAGTTTAACTTTCCTTTTTGTTGTGATGATGTAGGTCAAACCTGAAATAATCAGCTGGTCACCTCGAATTATTGTACTTCATAATTTCCTTAGCAATGAGGTATGTGTGTCATCAATGACTGAGAACTAATTGTGGTACTACAAATTATCACAATGTAAATTCTGATTCATATAATGACTAACTGATGTAGGACAGCTATGTGATTAGGGCTTTTGGCAGCTTTAAGATTTAAATTCTTTAGAAATTGGGGGAAATTGAATAATGCTGAAGAAGAAATTTGCAGGCTATGCATTGTTGGTTGATTGCATTGTGCAATCACGAGAACAATAATGCTGAAAATTCTCTAACAAGAATTCTATCTCTCAATAAAAAGATTACATTGATATATGGACTCCTAGCATTCCTTATCCAGTAAGAAGTAGCAGTCGTAGTTAAAAAAATCCTTAGATTCCACCTAGGAAACTTTCAAACTTGACATAAAACACTAAAACTTGAAACATAGAATTATCCTGAAAAAGTAAAAATAAAAATCCAATAACATAAGGAAAACCTAATTAAGACTTAATTAGACTCAAAATTTGCAATTTCTAGCAAGCCTACCAGATCAGCCTTGATTATAAGTTTTCTACCAGAAATTTGCAATTTCTAGCAATCCAATAATATAAGCATTCAATCATACTTTTCTAGCCTAATATTTAGTTATGTGGCAAGAAAAAGAATAAGCTCATTATGATTAAATGCTAGGCAGACAAGTATTAATAGGCTGGAAAAGAAATTTGTAAGCAAAGGCAATCTCTGCTAGGATAGAATAGGCTAGTATGTGTCTTTTCCGTTTGTCGTCAAGGAAGTAGGGTTAGAAGATTGACCTTGTTTCTAGTGATGTAAATAGCTCCCTTTAAAATGTCAGTGCTCTCCCACTTATGGCTGACTGCATCCATCATCTGCTTAATGGTACTGAAGTATCATTTTATTTTAAGCACTAAATTTTTAAAACAACCTCATTTTTCCTAAGTTTAGTGATTTGGAAATGCTATATCCCCAAGTAATTCAGCACAACAGAGTTTTAAATTATAGCATTATAACCTCTGCAGGAATGTGACTACCTTAGAGCCATTTCCCGCCCTCGACTTCAAACTTCTACTGTGGTGGATGCAAGAACTGGGAAGGTACATCTGACAACCTTTTCAAGTCCTTGAATTACATTTTGGTGGTGTAACAGATTTTTTTGCATGTTAGTTGCTTTCTAATAAAAAAAAGTCTTCTCTTTATAGATCTTCTATTAAGTATCTAGGTTATTTATATTCATTGTGGTGATATATCGACTTATACATATATATGCATGTAAAGTTTCACCTTTTTTGTCTATTTGATGCGTAAAGTATCCATTTTTTAAAATTTGCTGGAAGTTAGTGACTGGAGATCTTGTCTTTCTTTGAATTCAAGATTTCTTGATTAATACCGTATCAACCTTTATAACTGTATGAACCCTTTTCAAATCTATAAACGAGGCAAACGAGTCCTTATTTCGCATTTATTGAACCGGGTTTGACTTGAGAACTTAATTAGGTAGCTGCTTGTGTTTCTTTATCATTGCAGTTTTCTCACTTTCAGTGGTTAATTTACTATGTAGGTGCTTTTTTGACCAATCAGACTTTTGTATTACTTTAAGGGTGTCTAATGATGAAGGACCCTCTTTCTTGTTACTTCACCATAAAGGATACTTAAGCATGAAGAACCTAACTGTTATGAGTTGTAGAGGTGGCAATTGGGCAAATTGACTTACCTTCATTAGCTGCATCTACTTCACATACGGTGTATGCATTAAAATGGAATATCCTCTTACATATTACTGCAAGCCCAACTTTAGAAGGACTTGTCCACTTCTTGTGTTGCTAAGTTTTAATACTTTCTGTACTGATGCTGTGCTGAATGATGACAGTTGTGGTCATAAGTTTAATCACAACACAAAACATGTGTTTCCTATCCTTGGCCTGTTACTTTTACTTACAGTAATGTATTTGTCAAGGCAAGAGTAGATCTTATGATGGCATCTGTTTTTCAGGGAATTAAGAGTAATGTCAGGACAAGCTCTGGTATGTTCCTGAGTCCAACAGAGAAAAAGTATCCAATGATACAGGTTAGTTTTCAAGTCACTCGTCTCCAACATAAATGTCTATGCCATCAGTCCATTCTTATATGAGCTGATCAATTGCATAAGGAAGCATAGAAAATGATTTTAATCCCTGCTGTAGATGGTTTAGATTTTACTGATGCATAATGCATCTATTAATAGCCAGAGATTAAAAAAAAAATTCACAAGCACTGGTCCAAATTGTCATATGAATGACGTGATCAAATATATATACTATAGCTGGTTTGATGGGAATGTTGATGGGAACTGTTGCTAGAATTGTGTACTTAGTGAAGGGTCAAAAATGGCATTCTGACTACACCTGTAGGGAGAGACCTTCGAGCAGACATTGACCTTTGGTATTGAAATTGGAAATTCAAAAAGAGATGATGTGCTGTTTTGGTATGATCAGATTTCTTTTAGCAGAAGATGCCTTACACCTATTGTTTACTAAATAAACTGAGTTGCCATTCATTCCCTGTCTGGTGAAAGCAGAATTGTGTATTTTTACATGATGTGATCGTGGATCAAGTACAGATATTAATCTTGTGGATCAAAATTAAGTGACTGCTAAGTAATTGCGATATGGTTATGATATGCACAGATTCATGCCATGAACTGATTACAATAATTTAAAAAAAGTCTAAGACTCTGCTGCCACTGGAGTGGTAATGAATAGGGAGAGGATCCACTGGTTATTCAACTTACTCAAATTGCTCATGGTGGCTTATATAATTTCCCTGTTACTAAGCTCAGTAAATTCTTTTGCTGGGCAAAGAGATAGTTTGTAAAATTGCCCACTCACAAAGGCTTTTCAAAATAGTTTGTAACGGTCTTGTTCTCATTGACCCAATGGAACTCTGCACTCGGTTCTGTGTTATGTTTATAAGATTTATCCTTCTTATTTTGACAACTAGTAATTAGTCTTCTATGGGTTTGTCTATTTTTACCGAGGGTTTACACATAAAAGCATGGTTTTGCAAATATTGGCACTTGATATGCTGGCTGCAATTCTTGGAATTCAGAAACATATGTTGTTTCTAGCATTACAACTGTTGTTTACATCTATCTTCTTCAATTGCCCAATAAAGTGCGTAATTGAGTGTTTCCTCCATTTCTTTTTCCTTGAAACCTTAGGCAATTGAAAAGCGGATTTCTGTCTTTTCTCAAATACCAGTTGAAAATGGGGAGCTTATCCAAGTTTTAAGGTGGGTGTCTGTCTTAAATTTCTGTAAAATATTGCTCCAAAGCAGGAAAACTGATATGTTGTGTTACCAAGGCTAACATATAATGCAGCACAGGTATGAAAAGGATCAGTTTTACAAGCCCCACCATGATTACTTTTCTGATACTGTAAGTTATCTGCCCTTATCAAAATTGACATGGTGCATCTATTGATTGTGTAAGTTACATCTATTCTTGTGCTATGGAGGAATTCCGATCCATTTCTATTCGACTCTTGCAGTTTAACTTGAAGCGTGGTGGTCAACGAATAGCAACAATGCTTATGTATCTAAGCGATGATGTTGAAGGAGGAGAAACATATTTCCCTATGGTAATTACCTTTTTTTCAAAAAAAAAAAAAAACCATGAATTTGATGTGTAACTTTTGTTAATCTTATTAGGCAGATGTGGGTATTCTGAGAATAACCGTTAATATGCCTTTGGTTTGAGGCACTTCTCTTAACTTGTGTATGCAATTTGGTAGATGCTTTCCAAGCTAATAAAGTTCATTGAATAGTTCTTTGATACTGTGCTAGAAAGAGTGAAGCACAGAAGTTTTGTGAAGTCTTATGGGTGTTAAGGGTAAGCATTGAACATTAGGATTTTTAAGGTTTAAAGTTGCAAAGACAGCCGATTAGCTTTAATAGATGAAAATTGGGGTTAATTGGCTGAGTTATGATGGAAAAATGGTTTTTAGAAGTGTGGATATGACTAGAATTTTGGGGCAATAAGAAGACAACAGAATTTAATGTTTTAGAGGAATGTGGTGGAGTTGGAGAATCACGGTGATGTAACACTCCAATGGATAAGACAGGATTCAAATCCTACATAGCATCCAATATTTCTTTCACTGTCTTCACCTGAGTCTTGATGTACTCTCAATTAAAAATCCATTATATGAGAAGATCTGTAATGTTGCAATGGTGAATAAATACTACAGGAAAAGAGCATTAGGAATTTGCTCTTGTGGAAAACTGTTAGGAACAGAATGAGGAAGTAGGGCTCAGGATAATGAATGGTTGGCAATATTGCTGAATTACTTCTGGTACAGAGTAGGCGGGAAGAAGTTGAATCATATTACTGAAGTTTGAAGTAGTTGTGGCTGGTATTCTTTCAAACCTCAAAATGAAAACTCAATTAACTTTCTTCATCTTCATCTTCTTCTTTTCTTTATTTTTTTTCCTGGGTTTGAAAAGTTTTCATATAGAGTCCAAAGTGACTATAGCAAAAGGCCGATTAAACCCAATTGAAATGGCTGGTTTAGTTTGATTTTCTTTTTTCATTTGTCTTTTTTCAAACTTCTAGTGATGGTGTTGGCATCTACATTTGTCGCATTATGAATGGTAGACTATGTCGATTTCTTAGGCTGACAGTCATACATCACTTCTCAAATGTGATTTTATTCAGCAAGAATATTTGTTTAAGTTTTAAATTAGAAGAGTATTATTATTCTGTATGAGGATGTATGCTCATTATAAATTGCAGGATTGCTCACACAATATATAGAATTACTTAACATATAAGTACTGTTAACTCAATCTCATGTGGCTAATATTTGCATTTGAAAAAATCCATCGTATATGGCAGTTAACAAATACTTTTTCTGCTCATCTGTAGTTCTTGTTTTTCTTGGTGAAATCACTGTAACCCTGGATATTTTCTGTTAGACACATAATTCTCTTCTTTCATATTTTTTGACCATATGGTAGAATGGCTTGGCTACAATGAAGTGTAGGAAAATTGTTATTTGCATTCATGGTGTGTTGGTGATGTAGCCGAAAGGTTTAGGGCAATTAGAACTCAACAATTAGGGCTAGAATAGGGTTGATTGTGTTGGAACAGTAGAAAGATAATTGGGTTTTTTTAAAGAAACTTCTTGAATAAATATTCAAAATAACAAAAGATGATAATAATAATCCTCTATCTAGAATCACCTATTTATAATAACTAAGATAAATCCTAATCAAATAGTAATCCTAATCATAAATAAAGACTTAAAGTACTAAAATTCTAATAAAGATAAAAAAATCTCAAACTAAATAAAATAAAGAAAATAAAATCTTAAGCTAACGAAAATACTAAAAAAAATAAATTTCTTTATTCGCTTGCATTAGTCCCCTCGGGTTAGAAAAGACTTGACTCCAACGAGTAGGCCTTGACATACTCCTCATAGATGTCTGGATCCACTCGTTTCAATTCTTCTTCTGCAATCCAAGTGCTTTCATTAGTAGGTTTACTAAGCCACTTCACTAAAAATCGTCTATACGGGTTCCCTCGTCTAGATCGAAGCTCTTTCACATCTAGCACATCTTCAATACCTTCAACCTTAACAATCGGAAGGTGCTGAATTTGAGCGTCTATGGTAGATGCAGTCCCATCACATCCATCAAATGGATACAAGTCCATAACATTGAAAATAGGACTGATTTGTAACTCAGGCGGTGGCTCAAATTAAGTAGGCATTTTGAACGGATTTTCTTTAGCACCTTACAAGGTCCAAACTTTCTAGACTTGAGCTTGTGATAAGTACCTTAGGAAATCTTTCTTTGCGTCAAGTGCACAAGTACTTGATCACCTTCCTCAGATGTTGATTTGCAGTAAAAGAGTATTCTGCATTGCTGGCTTATAAAGCAGCCCTTACCTCTTTGTGAATTTCTGAATATGATCAGCAAATAACTTTCCTTCATTACTCACTCTAGCTTC